GTGGATGTGGTTTGGAGGTGTGCTACCGCTCTGAATTGCTGAAAGCCTGAAGTGACATTCTACCCAGCAGCAGACCGCCAATGGAGTATCGCCCAGACCTGGCCCCGCTCTAGGGTCACTGATACTCCTCAGCTCCTTTCCAAGCCTATGAGTCTCCAACTTCTGCTGCAGTCCTTGTTATCTTGCCTTGACTTTGTTTAGCAGATACTTCTGTATGCAGGTTCAGCTCTCACCATGTGCAGAGTGCAATTAGCAAGAGCGAGGTCTGGTATAAAGAATAAACGATTGTTTATTTCAAAGGTTTCTTAGGGGAAGAAGTACAGGCTTCCTGCTGGAGGCTGCCACTTTGCTTTTGGAGCAGAAAGCAGGTACTTTTAAAGGAAAATGCCAGACAGGGCAGGAAGTGTATTTCCGTCTTTCCACTGGTTTCCAGGGGTCAAGATATGTTTTTTTTGCAGGGGGTGGTAAAGAGCCAGAGAACATATGTAAGCTTTGCAGACCATCTAGTCTCAGTTACAAGTATAGACTCTGCTCTTGCACATTTTATTTTATTTTTTTGAGAGCGTCTCCCACCGTCACCCAGGCTGGAGTGCAGTGGCACATTCTTAGCTCACTGTAACCTTCGCCTCCTGGGTTCAAGCAATTCTCTTGCCTCAGCCTCCAGAGTAGCTGGGACTATAGGCACGCATCACCACACCTGGCTAATTTTGTATTTTTAGTAGAGATGGGATTTCACCATGTTGGCCAGGCTAGTCTTGAGCTCCTGGTCTCAAGTGATCTGCCCGCCTTGGCTTCCCAAAGTCCTGGGATGAGTAGCGTGAGCCACCGCGCGTGGCCTAAATGAGTTCTTGAATTATTCTTTTCAGTGCCATTTTTTTTTCCTTTTTGAGGTATAAAGAATTTTCTTTTTGTTTAAAAACTTCTATTTTAGGTTCAGGGGTACCTTTGGAGGTTTGTTACATGGGCAAACTGCATGCCACTTGGTGAACCGATTTTGCCACCCAGATAGTAAGCATCATACGTGACAGGTAGATTTCCCATCCTCATTCTACTCCCCACTTCCTCCTTTCAGTCCCCGGTGTCTGTTGTCCCCTTCCCGTCCCCGTCCCCCCTCCACCTTCTAGTGCCCGGTGTCTGTGGTTCCCCTTCCCTGTGTCTGCCCCCTCTAACTTCATGCATCTGGGTGCCTATGGATCCCCCCTCTGTGTCCACCCCCTCCACCTTCCGGCGCCGTCTCTGGTTCCCCTTCTTTCTGTGTCCATCCCCTTCCACCTCCCGCACCGGGTGTCTGTGGTTTCTGTGGTTCCCCTGCTCTCTGTATTTGCCTCCCTGCACCCTCCGGCGCCTCGTGTCTGTGGTTCCCCCTCCCTGCGTCCGCCCCCTCTAACTTCATGCGTCAGGTGCCTATGGATCCGCCCTCTGTGTCCGCCCCCTCCACCCTCCGGCACCCGGTGTCTATGGTTCCCCCCTCTCTGTATCCGCCCCCCTCCACCCTCCGGGACTCGGTGTTTGTGGTTCCCCGCCTTCTCTATCCGCCACCTTCCGGCGCCCAGTGTTTGTGGTTCCCCCCTCTCTATCCACCCCCACTCCAGCCTCCGGCGCCTGCTGTCTGTGGTTTCCCCTCTCTCTGTGTCCGCCCCCCCCCTCCACCCTCCAGCGCCCAGTGTCTGGGGTTCCCCCTCTCTGTGTCCTCCCCCTTCCACCCTCCGGCGCCCCGTGTCTGTGGTTCCCCCCCATATCCGCCCCCCCTCCACCCTCCGGCGTCTGGTGCCTGTGGTTCCCCCTCTCCGTGTCTGCCCCCTCACCTTCCGGCGCCCGGTGTCTCGTTCCTTCTCTTCCGGTGTCCGCCCCCCTTCACTCTCCAGCGTCGGGTGTCTGTGGATCCCCCTCTCTATATCCGTCCCCCTCCACCCACCGGCCCGGCGTCTGTGGTTCCTCCTCTCTCTGTGTCAGTCCCCCTCCACCCTCCGGCGCGCGGTGTCTGTGGTTCTCCCTCTATCCGCCCCCCAACTCCACCCTCCGGAGCTCGGTGTCTCTGGTTCCCCCTCTCTCTGTGTCTGCGCCCCTTCACCCTCCGGCGCCCGGTGTTTGTGGTTCTCCCTCTGTGTGTGTCCGCCCCCCGACCTTCCGGCGCCCGGTGTCTGTGGTTCTCCCTCTCTCTGTGTCCGCCCCCCGACCTTCCGGCGCCCGGTGTCTGTGGTTCTCCCTCTCTCTGTGTCCGCCCCCCGACCTTCCGGCGCCCGGTGTCTGTGGTTCTCCCTCTCTGTGTGTCCGCCCCCCGACCTTCCGGCGCCCGGTGTCTGTGGTTCTCCCTCTCTGTGTGTCCGCCCCCCGACCTTCCGGTGCCCGGTGTCTGTGGTTCCCCCCACCCCCGGGTCCGCACCCTCCGGGGCACGGTGTCTGTGGTTCTCTCTGTGTCCGCCCCCCGACCTTCCGGTGCCCGGTGTCTGTGGTTTCCCCCCCTCTCTGTGTCCGCCCCCTCCGCCCTCCGGCGTCTGTGGTTCCCCCCTCTATCAGCCCCCTTTAACCCTCTGGCGCCCCGTGTCTGTGGTTCCCCTCTGTGTCCGCCCCCCTCCACCCTCCGGCGCGGTGTCTGTGATTCTCCCTCTATCCGCCCCCACTCCACCCTCCGGAGCCTGGTGTCTGTGGTTCCCCCTCTCTCCTCCACCCTCCGGGCCCGGTGTCTGCCCCCTTCCACCCTCGGGCACCTGTGGCTGTGGTTCCCTCTCTCTCCCTGTCCGGCGCCTGGTGTCTGTGGTTCCCCTCTGTGTCGGCCCCCTTCCACCCTCCGGCGCGCGGTGTCTGTGGTTCTCCTCACTCTGTCCGCCCCTCCCCACCTTCCAGTGCACGGTGTCTGTGGTTCCCCCTCTGTCCGCCCCCTTTCACCCTCTGGCGCCCCGTGTCTGTGGTTCCCCCCCTCTCTGTGTCCACCCCCCTCCACCCTCCGGAGCGCGGTGTCTGTGGTTCTTCCTCTATCCGCCCCTACTCCCACCCTCCGGCGCCTGGTGTCTGTGGTTCCCCCTCCACCCTCCACCCTCCGGCCAGGTGTCCGCCCCCTTCCACCCTCCGGCACCTGTGTCTGTGGTTCCCTCTCTGTGTCCGGCGCCCGGTGTCCACACCCTCCACCTTCCGGGGCCCGGTGTCTGTGGTTCCCTCTCTGGGTCCGCCCCCCTCTACCCTCCGGGGCCCGGTGTCTGTGGTTCTCCCTCTGTGTCCGCCCCCCAACTTCCGGTGCTGGTGTCTGTGGTTCCCCCTCTCTCCACCCCCCTCCACCCTCCGGCGCCCGGTGTCTGTGGTTTCCCCTCTCTCCGTGTCCGCCCCCCCTCCACCCTCCAGGGCCCGGTGTCTGTGGTTCCCCTTCTCTCCGTGTCCGCACCCTCCACCCTCCGGGGCCCGCTGTCTGTGGTTCCCTCTCTGTATCCGCCCCCCGACCTTCCGGTGCCTGATGTCTGTGGTTCCCGCTCTGTGTCCGCCCCCCCGACCCTCCGGGGCGGGCTGTCTGTGGTTCCTCCTCTCTGTATCCGCCCCCCCGACCTTCCGGTGCCCGGTGTCTGTGGTTCCCCCTCTCTCCACCTCTCTCCAACCTCCGGCGCCCGGTGTCTGTGGTTCCCCCTCTCTCTGTGTCCGCACCCTCCACCATCCGGGGCCCGCTGTCTGTGGTTCCCCCCTCCTCTGTTTCCGCCCCCCCGACCCTCCCGGGCCCACTGTCTGTGGTTCCCCGTCTCTCTATCCGCCACCCGACCTTCCGGTGCCCGGTGTCTGTGGTTCCCCCTCTCTCTGTGTCCGTGTCCGCACCCTCCACCCTCGGGGGCCCGGTGTCTGTGGTACCCCCCCCGTGTCCGCTCTCCCCCTCCGACCTTCCGGTGCCCGGTGTCTGTGGTTACCCTTCTCTCTGTGTCCGCCCCCCGCGACCTTCCGGTGCCCGGTGTGTGTGGTTCCCCCTCTCTCTGTGTCCACACCCTCCACTCTCCGGGGTCCACTATCTGTGGTTCTCCCTCTCTCTGTACGCCCCCGACCTTCCGGTGCCTCGTGTCTGTGGTTCCCCCTCTGTGTGTCCGCCCCCCTCTACCCTCCGGCACCGGTATCTGTGGTTCCCCCTCTCTCTGTGTCCGCCCCCCGACCTTCCGGTGCCCGGTGTCTGTGGTTCCCCCTGTCTCTGTGTCCGCCTCCCGACCTTCCGGTGCCCGGTGTCTGTGGTTCCCCCTCTCTCCGTGTCCGCTCCCCCCCCCACCTTCCGGTGCCCGGTGTGTGTGGTTCCCCCTCTCTCTGTGTCCGCCCCCCGACCTTCCGGTGCCCGGTGTCTGGTTCTCCCTGTTTCTGGGTCCGCCCCCCTCTACTCTCCGGTGCCCGGTGTGTGTGGTTCCCCCTCTCTCTGTGTCCGCCCCCCGACCTTCCGGTGCCCGGTGTCTGGTTCTCCCTCTTTCTGGGTCCGCCCCCCTCTACCCTCCGGTGCCCGGTGTGTGTGGTTCCCCCTCTCTGTGTCCGCACCCTCCACCCTCTGGCACCGGTGTCCCTTGTTTCCGTCTGTGTGTCCACGTGTAGCCAGTGTTTAGCTCCTACATGCAAGTGGGAACGTGGTGCTTGGCATGTAAGTGCACTTAGGAGAACGGCCTCTCCACCTCCATCTATGTTGCTGCCTGGGGCATGATCTTCTTTTTCCTTTAATTTTAATTTTATTCTTTATGATTTATACTAAGGCAGGTATATGTAACTCAAAAAACCAGAGTTTTTTTGCTTCTGAGGAGCAATGGTAACAATACCAGCCACAGTAGCAAGGATGAGAAAACCAATTCTTAGTTTCCAAGCCCGTTAAGAATTATTTCTGTGGAAAGGAATCAGCGAAAACAATGTTACTGTCTCTGTCCAGTCAAATACTGCACAGGAGGGAAAGGGGGCATGGTGTTACTCAACTAAGTTATTGCAACAATTAAAGCTTCTAAGGTGGCTCATGAGCCAAGCACCACTGAATTTTGTGGGCCCTGTCTCTGTCGCCCATGTAGGACGTGGACCCTGTGCGGAACACCCGAGTACCTGGCCCCCGAAGTCATTCAGAGCAAGGGCCACGGGAGGGCCGTGGACTGGTGGGCCCTCGGCATCCTGATATTCGAGATGCTCTCGGGGTAAGTAGAGTCTCCGTAGAGAATCTTCATCTTACAGGCCAGCACCCCTTCCCCCATCCATTCATCCCTCGGCATTTTTGCAGTCTTGAAAACAGTCCGTGAGTGTCGCAAACACACAGTGTGGCCGCACACACATCCGCTGCTCTGCTGAGGCTGGCAGTGTGAATTGGCAGTTCAGCTTGTTTGAATAAGAGGCAAAAATCACAAAGTTGTGAAGGAGCCACCCACGCATGCCTGCTGAGATTTTTACGTCTAAATATCTATATCTTCCTTAAATTAAAATTCACGTTCTGGGCTGGTCTGAAGGTAGCGAGTTATCTCAGTCGATTTCCATAGTTACAGGTTGAACTCTTTGCTCCACTCTTTCCCGTGCTTCTCACTTCTGCACTTCATGAATTTAAAAATTAAATAAATCTTCCGCACACAGCCTTTCTGAAGTAACCTGCAGAGCTCAGGAGGGCACAGGTCGAGTCAAGGTAAATCAGCCAAATACAATTGATTTACTGATGAACATCGTGCAAAGAAGGCGAGAATGTGTTTTTCTTCTAAAACCCCATACCTGTGTTATGGAAAGGGGTCCTGATCCAGACCCCAAGAGAGGGTTCTTGGATCTCTTGCAAAAAAGAATTTGGGGAAAGTCCATAGAGTAAAGTGAAAACAAGTTTATTAAAAATAAAGTAAAAGAATAAAAATACGGCTACTCCATAGGCAGGGCAGCCCCCAGGATACTGGTTGGCTATTTTGATGGCTATTTCTTCATTTTATGCTAAACAGGGGGTGGATTTTCTGTGAGTTTTCTGGGAAAGGGGTGAGCAATTCCTGGAGCCCAGGGTTCCTCCCCTTTTAGACGATAGAGAGTAACTTCCTGACAGTGTCATGGCGTTTGTAAACTGTCATGGCACTGTGTCCTTTAGTACCTACTGCGTTATAATTAATGTCTAATGAGCTGTGAGGTCAGTCAGAGGTCACCATTGTCTCCACCTTGATTTTGATGGGATTCGGCCAGTTTTACCGCAGCCTGTTTCATCAGCAAGGTCTTTGTCACCTGTATCTTGTGCTGACCTCCTGTGTCATCCTTAATGACTTAGAATGTCATCCTTAATGACATCCTCCTGTGTCATCCTTAGAATGACTTCAGCATTGGGAATGCATCCCAGTAGGTCTCAGCCTCATTTTACCCAGTCCCTGTTCAAGATGGAGTTGCCCTGGTTCCAGTGCCCGTGATACCTGTGTTGGGAGAGATTTGGAAGTCAGGGGAGGTGCCATCCTCCCTGTGACCACAGAACAGAGAGGTCAGTCATCCGTCGGGATGTCAGCATGATTCGGTGTTGAAGGCCAGCGTATGCCTGAGACAGCTCCACCATGACTTGCCCAGGACACAAAGGAAGCATGCAGCACTTGGAAGCCCAGGACGCTGGTGTCCTCCTCGTTCGGTTGTTAGTACCTGGCGTGCCTGTTAATTCCCTAGGACAACTCAGTAGCGTGCCGCTTTTCCAGATAGGAACCCGTAGGAAGGAGTGAGCCATGTGTGCAGAGAAGGTGTTGTACTGTGTGCCTCTAGACAGGATGAAGATGAGAGGAAGGCCCAGAACACCACTAGGGGATCCTCTGCCGTGCTTCGCCACCGCCGACGCTGCCTCCTAGGTCTCTCTTTTCCTGTGTGCGTCCATCTTCTGCTTGCCTCTGAGTCTCAAAGACAGACACCAGCGTATCCTCTGAGTGCTCCCCGTTGTCAGAACATAAGCCAGATCCTCTGTCACATCTCTGATTCCCTGCAGGGGGTAAAGACCACAGGTTTTCTCTGGGAAACCTTCCCTTTCAGTTGGAAACAAAGGAGGGAAGGAAGACAGGTGTTCTCCTGCCGGGAAGGCGTGTCTAAGCCGGATCTTGCTGGTGGGGAGCACCAAATGCTTATTCCTGGGGGTGTGGGGCATGGAACATTCTGACATCTGCCTTAGGAAATCCAGTAGGTCACTGACTTTGGTTGGGGAGCAGGCAGGGGTCATTTTCCCAAGTGCTTATCTCTGCTGTCTTTGATAAAGAAAGCAAATCCTTTAATTCTCACACTAGTCTAGGGATCAGAGCGGTGTTGAACAAGCACTGCCGAAGAATTCCAGCACAAAACTGGAGCATGAGATTCCAGAGGAGGAGAGTGGAGCCCGTGAAAACCTGTATTTCATTGTCTGGCTATCCATGTATGTCGTTTGTCATCCATCCGTCTACCCACCTGTCTGTCTATGTCTGTATGTTATCCATCCATCCATCCTCCACCTACCTACCCCTTCATCCATCTGTCCATCCACCCACCCACCCCTTCATCCATCCATCCATCC